GACTTGGTCTGGGTGATCCTGCTCTGGCAGGATGAGACTGCAGTTCTTCTGTGTCACAGAGATAAAGCAAATTATATTTCTGGTATCCTAGATATTAAGATCTCTTGTCACTTTCTGCCATATTCATTGGGGAGAATTTGAAACTTGCATTGCTTTTTTCAGTTTTAGCCAGCTTGCTTAGAACCTCTTTTAACTTTTGAAAATAAGAATATTGTAATTACAGAATTTACTTGCTAGAAGCAATTGAGTCAGGAATGAAGAGTGGAGGATTTCAGTAGAATATTGTTATGATCTGGCAAACCTATATGCACCTGGAAAAAAACCTAGGAGTTTATAGAAGTAAGTGGTGCTATACATGTGTACTCTTTAACATATGACCTGAGTTACTGGAGGTTGGCTAAGTAGCTTCTCCGCAACATTCAGACTTTGTAATTATTTCAGCACTATTGGAGATGGGAAGGCTTTGTTATTATTGACAGAGTTTGAGGCAATTATTTATGTAGGCCTAGTAATTTAATAAAGAGTATTGACATGGTTTTTATTTTGTAATGATTTATAGCAATCAGGATCGTAAAATGCCCCAGTTATTAGCCAAAGAACAAAATGTATTCCCTGGAGATGTGTATCTGTTTCTTCTAGGATCCTGAAAGAATAAATACGCAGAATTCCATTGTTATTTGCTTCTGTCTTACTGAAACTCTGAAGCACAGTGATTTTTTTTTTTAACTTGGAAAAACAAACCTCAGAAATGTCATAAACATGAATTCTTAACAGTATTTGCTTGTTGTGGTTTTGGAGTGATTTTTTTTTCATTGCCAAATCTGGGAAACTTTAGGGATCTTCATCAGTATAGCTGTCTTTCTCTTCCCCATCCTCATTACTTCTCAGTCTTCCAAAGAGTACTGAATAGTGACATCTCAAGCAGTTTGGTGGAGCTGAACTTCTAAACCCAGGGCAACAATCTAATTTCTGAATTATATAGTAGAAATTGTGTGATGGCAAAGAACACCATCATTTCAGAGGCAAATTGAGACCTGCATTTCTACAGATTCACTACTTAATGGGCACCCTGATTTAACTTCTCTCTTTAAAGAGTCAAACAGAGAAAACTTCTTAAAAATGTGGCACTTCCTCGTGCAGTTCTGTAAATTGGAACTGTTGCTTGATTTCTAAGGAGATCATGTTGGAGAAAGTTGAGCAACTGAGTGCAGAATGAAGGTGCGCTGGAAGCTTGAAAGTAAAAGATAATTTGAAAGAAATGTTTTATAGATTAGTATATTGTCCCAATTTAATGCAGTAAAGTATAGCAAGAATCATCTCATTCTAGTCTTAAATACTACACTAGGTGAGACTACAGCGTACATTGCTTTCTGCTGCTCATTGGAAACCGGTGTTCTTTCTTACCTCGTGGTAGGTTCAGAGTTAAGTAAATGTGGGGCTTTTACCTCACTGGAGGAGGGAGTAGTAATTGGTAGAGTTCTCCTTCTTAGCTGAATAGTGATGCAAAACCTTTTAAAAAAATTATAGTAGAAACATTTGGAGCAGCAGTCTCTTTGTCATGCCGCACTGCAAGAAAGCAAACAGGAATTATAAACCCTACTCTGAACTCAGCCATTTCAGATGGTATTTTTAATGCAAGGCACATATTTCCATCTGGTGAAGTGAACTGATTTTTCTTTTTTATATCATTATTTTAGTCCAAACTTGAAAAGGGCAGAACCACCATGTTCCAAACCACTGTCTCAGATAAGGATAAATTACACCATCTTGTGGATATAAAGAGAGCACTAAATTTTGTTTAAATTGAATTTGGTTCTAAGCATAATCAGTGATTCCACTGAGAAGATACTTTGATTTAAAAAAAACACGAACAAACAGGATATAAGCCTCTGCAGAAGTAACACATGCTGTGTTCTTGGGTTAATTTTTTTTAAGACTGTACATCTAAGATAAATTTTTCATCTGTCTGTTTCTCAGCATGGCTAAAAAAGAATACTAATCTCATATACCTGTAGTTTACTGTTGTGTCTACATTTATACCTGAAATACATATTTAGAAACATGGTTATTTATATATATGCAAATATAAGAAAATTTTGGAAGCTGTGATTTGTCAGCATCTCTTCCAACTGATGAGGTCACCTACATTTCTTAATATTATTTTAATCAGAAGCCCACCTGATGAGTCATGAAATGCTTCACAGTCTTAAGTGTTGCATCTAGTAGAGATTATTTCACCTATACGTGATAGAAATGTTAGAGGAAATTTAAGAACCAGAGATAAAATATAGCTCATGAAGATTATCAGCAGCCATTCTGTTATTGCCACTTCTCCTAGAGGATGACAGAAGACAGAAATGCTGCAGAAGACTGTTACCTCTGATCCCTAAGTGTTAAGGAACTTCTTAGTTTTATTTGTTCTGATGGTGGTTCTAGCACTGCAGTGACTCCAGATGCCTTCTAACCTTAGATTTTAATCACCCAAATTCATTATTGCTGGTGGACTCTCATGCTAATGATACAAGAAGACCGTGACAGAAGCCCTTCTCCAAAAGTATGCAATGAAGTACCATTGGTGTAGAATGGAAGTACAAGCCCAACCCTAAAGTTCTGTCAAAGCAAAAAATCTTCAAGAAGTACCATTTCCAATCTGATGGAACTGTGCTTGAATGGCAACTGGTGATTAATTCCAATTTATAGAGTGAATCATGTAGTAGAAAAATTTGGCAGTATTCTGTTACTGCCTTTCTATCAGATGTCCAAACGGTTTCAAATATTTTACCTAGACTTGGCAACAACTCCTTTAGTCAGTGGGTATTTCTAATACGAAGGGAAAAGCACATCCGTTACGCAGTGTGAAACTGTTATCGCTGTTAGATGTCTGGAAAAATACTTTGGCCAAATAAGATTTTTTTTTTTTTTTTAACTTGATGCCATCACCGCATGGGCTGGATGAGCTCTGTCACAAACTGAATGCAGCTCTCAGTGCTACCTCTCATGTATACCTTCACCTTCAAAGAGTCCTACTACAATAGTGGGTCAAATAGGACGTAGTATGTGGTAATTGCTACTAAAGAGATATATAAAAATGGGTTGCATTAAAGTCTTTGCTGGATACTATATTAACAGGCAGCCTGTGTGCATAATGTTATTCTCTGATGTTATAAGAGGTATACATTTTAAAGGCACTATCAGTCATTTCTAGCCCTGTCCTACATCTGTGTATATGTTATATTGCTGATCTGCTAATGCGTAGTAACGCTGAAAAATTCCCAGTGTGGCAGGATAACCCCAAGAGAAAAATGGTATTTTCATGTGTGTGTCCCTTCATGTCCTTTCTTTCTTCCAAAACTTACCATCTTTATCATGTGCAGAACTCTTTCAACAATTTTTCAGGGCTCCCATCAAAATAATAAAGAAAAGAAAATTTAGTTTTGATAGTCATAATGTATAGAATTCACAAGTACCACTTACATGTAGCTTTATTACATAGGTATGAGCGCAAACAGTCCTTCTATCTTCCTAAGCTGCTGGAGATGGTAGACCTAGCTGGTGTCTGGCAAGGCTATAAAATGTATTATTAAAATTAATGCTACCTTTTATAGAATACTGTATGCTGTCTTGCAGTAGACATGCACAACAGTATCTGTAATTAAACTTACAAAGCACTTTCATACTATAAAATTGTGTGTGAAGTAGAGGGAGGAAAAGAGAGGCTCTGGGGTTTTGGTTGTTCAGTTGGATTTTGGGGGTTTTTTGGTGGTGTGGTTTTTTTGGCAACTTCTACCTATTCTGTTTAATCTTTCTTTTCCGCATTGGCATTTTATGGAAAGTTTTGAGTCATAACAGTGCCATTCAGATTTGAGTGCAAAAATGGGGAAATGGGCAAATGGGGAAAAAAGTAACTTGCACCAAGGTAAACATGTTTTTCCTGAGATGTTACAAGTTGCTTTTACAAATGCAAGCTCTTAGGAGCTGAAAAATAAAAAATCGTAAAAAGGATTTCTTCAAATCAGTCTAGTGAAAATGAATTTGATTTGTCCTGCTTATGTGGTTTCCAAACCTGGAGGTTCATGCAGATCTCCAACTAAAACATTTTTATAATTTTATATTCTGATATTTTAGAATGCCTTTTTCTGTTATTTATTTGATACGGTATCCCTTGAAAGTCATGCTAGACACAGCTTAGATGTAATATATATAAATTATTTTAAAATTAATGATCCCCAGGTTCTATTGGTATTCTATATCTGTTTACAGATCTTCTCTAATTCTACTGTATTAGACTTGGGATCAAGTACGGTGTTTGTAAAGTAAATGGAACGTCTTTTTAATCTCTGAAGATACAGATTCGTTAGCCATAATGTCTGTACAAAGCCACAAACATCCTATGGCAAGATGTAAATGTCATAGCAGTTACAAAGAGAATTTGGTCTGTGTAAGGCTAAAACTGTAAAAATCCTAGTCATTGTGTATCCTTGTGTTTTCTTCATAGTGTGGCAGAAAATGTACCATTTAATTACACAGTTCTAACTTTCTTAATGGCTTTTCATTGAAGACTGAATTCAGTTCACCTGTACAACTAAAACTCACTCTGAAATTCAAATTTAGAAATTTAATTTACTTTGCAGAATCTCTTTTTAGTGAGCAACTGTATATGAACTTCAGTGTTGCTGTATTCTTTGGTTTGATTATTCAGCCATGTGATCGTAACTCAACACAATTGTCTTGGGTAGATGTTAGGTGTGTATATGCAATTAATTACTATTTTTGACACTTGAAAACCAAAAATGCTAATACAAGTGCAAGATTTTAAAGGAATTAGTGCATAAACATGGCTGGCCCTTCTGCTACCACAAGCTGAATGGTTGTGTTCCCTGATGCCTTTTCCATACTAAGAGCATCAGTAGTCACCAGTAAAGCTGACAGATGGTAGCAGAATGGAGGAAAACACTAATCCAGTGCAAGTACATTTTTCTCTTTGATATTCTGACATTTAGCTGTTGCGAAAATGCTTTTCGTCAAGTTAGCTCTTAAAGGTGGAACCTTAATTGTTGGCTTCCTCCCCAGAAATAAAACCAGGGTAGACGTGCAAATGTCAGGCTTTTTAGAAAGTACCCAAAGGGGCTGCATGAGCTGCTAAAACAGAGGGGTCCGCACTGGGAACTCCAGCCGAGGTGATTTTCTCACATTTGTGAATGGTGTCCTGATTTTGTTCACTGATGCTTGCAACACTGTTCTAGCCCCAGGCTTAGTTGGCAAGCTCTGCATATTTTTAGGTTGTGTTGTCCAAAAGTTTACAAAATATTGATGCTCACTTCAAGCGAGTGAAGCTGGCAGTCAGATTCCCACTTCCAGTTCTGTAGCGCATCACTTCTAACAAAATAAATTAGGAAATTCCATACTTGGGAAGAAAGCAGTGTAACTTCTCCGTTTTGAGAGCTGGTGAGTGAGCTGGGCAAAGTGCTCAAGAATGCAGTCATACATGTTTGAATGTTTTGCATTATTTTGATTCCTATCCCCTTGGGTCCTGCCATTTAATGCCGTTGTTTTTGCCAGAAAAAGGCACTGCACTCGTGACTTTTGAAGTGGATGCATTCTGTGTGTCACAAAATTAATTAGAAAGTCTTAATTTATGTGTGAAGATGCAAAAAACGAATGTTAGTGTAGGACAGAGTGATGAAATATAGCTGGCAAATCCATATTAGTGTTTAAGTGTAAAGTAAGCTACTATCGTGGATTTAAAAAAGCTGAAGTCACAAATACGTATAGGCAGTTACTCTGACTTGAAGTGGTAGCAGAAAGTTTGTTCTCAAAATTGAATGTTTAAGTACTCTCATTAAATATAATAACACAAAATTGCTGTAAAAATTGCCTGTTTCTAGGTGGTGATCTCTACCTATATTTGTTGATTTGTTTAGTTAATACCAAGTTACTCGATGCATTGAATTCTCTATTTCCATGTTACAGGTCTGTTACCGCAGCTATTAGGAGTAGCACCAGAGAAGGCCATAAAACTTACTGTAAGTTTTCAAATGGATTGTTTTCACATTTCTCCACATTGTAAATTCCATCTAATTACATTAGCGCATTAAGGATTTTTATCCTTTATGCATCAGCAACATGGTAGAGTGTATTCCATCATTTTTGCTTGATACAAACTTAATTACAAAAGCACAAAGCAACTGTTTCTATCTTATTTGTGAACAAGTGGCATACAAGTCACATGTAGATACACACACACACACATATATATATATATATACACACACACACACACATATGTATGTATATATGTTTATTTATGAAATATTACTGAAAACTTATTTTTGGACATTTTTCAAAATATAAAAAGCTTATTCAACTTGTTCAGCTTATCTGCTTGTTTGTAAGTAGCTCAGGCCTTTGCTTTCATTTTTGTATTTCCACGTGGTTCCTGTATGTTTAATTGTAGTGCAACAGGAGATAACACAAGCATGCAGTGAACTGTTGGTAAGAAAGGAACTATTTGCATACATAATTTATCCTAAATGTTTTACTTCTGTAATTGTGTTATTTTTTTGAATGATTTTAAGGCATTGAAGAATTTCTTTATGACTCAATCTTAATGCACTGGTTAGTCATCAGTAAGCTAATATTCACCGAAGCTAGTGATATGCATTTTTAAACAAGTAAGGTAATTAATGCTGTTAATAGAATTACTATCGCATTAAAACCTATTATTGAATATTCTGACATTTACAAATGTAAATATAATTTCAAATTAATGTACTGAGCACTTCTAAAATATAAAATTATTTTGTCATTATTTTTCAGATAATTAGTTAATTAGTGTTCATTATCTTTTTTCAATAATAAATAATTGAATTATGCTGCAAATCTTTGTTAGAAAGAAAAACAGCTTTACAGTATTTCATGTGAAATCTGCGATTTGTTTGATATTTGTTAGCTTGGTAGCTTCATGGATGTATTTGCATTTTCACTTGCACAGAGTTTGCAGCTGATGAGTGTTTTCTCCAACTTTTTAATTTATCAGCTTTCATCACTGTTTGTTTTTGAAGGTTAATGATTTTGTGAGAGATAAGTTTATGGCTAAAGATGGCTCTGTCCCACTGGCTGCAGAAATTCTTGCTGGTGGCTGTGTAAGTACCTTTATTTTCCTTCCTATGAGATTCCTGAAAGTGCAGTGTGTAAGAGTGACTGTGTGGACTAAGGCCTCTGTTTGACCACAGATGCAGTTCCAGAGCAGACTGTCCTAGAGCATCTCAGTTCTTTCCTAGATAGGCCAGCCGTTCTTGATGAAAGGGTAAATGTTTCTGTGCATCGTGCCTTTTAGCTGCGCTGTGTAATTCTCACTGCTTAGAGTTTGTTTCCTTAATAAAGAATTTGTCTTTATTCATGTTGGCTGTAGCTTATGGCCTGAAGAGGATTCATGCTAACCTTTCCAGAAGTTAATAATTAGTTACCACTTCGTGGCACCCACTCTGCCACGTCACTTCTTTCCTGATGTGTTACTGCGCCCACTGATTTTCAATTTTTGCAGTGATACTGGCTTTTTGAAATGGCAAAAACTACTCATGCTTCTTTGAGTTCACAGCAGATGTAGGCTGTGTAATGTTAACTCAGTGCATAATGCGTTCCTGAAGGTAGGCTGTATTTAAAACCCACGAAGTTTTTAAGAGTGTTTTGTTTGCACGAAGTAATGAACAACTGGCATATTACTGGGTAAATGATAATACTTCACAGTTTGGTCTAGTTCTGTCTATTCGTATTACAGCTTACTTTATCTGGTGTATTGATTTTGTTCAAGCAGATGTAAATACTTTAGGTAAAATGAATAGTTGTTCAAAGACCAGTGCACTTTACAGATAAAGAACACTGTTTATTTAAACCGGCTTTGATCACTGGGGCAGAGCAACGTTGGTCTATTTTCAATCTATCTTTGTTTCTGCTGTCATAAGACAGATGAGGTCACATTTTCAAGCAGCTTCTACCTGTGTCGAAAACTACAGCGAGCAGCAACTTAAAAACAAATGCTTGTGTCTTAACCTCAGTAGGTGCGGAGATTTGTGCTGTATGTGCTTGCAGAGAGCGCACTGCGATTATCTGAGCCTCGGTGTGCAGCGGCTCGGTTGCACTGCAGGCTGAGAAGCCCTGGCTTTCTGTAATTCTCAGGAGATGGGGCAGGATTTGGCTGCTGTCTCTCACTGCTCCTTCTGTTTGATCACTGACCTGTTGTAGACTGCCAGGTAGGATCCCCTTGTTCTGTAACTTTAGGAGCATTCAGGGGAGAAAAAAAGAAGGGGAGGAGGGAGGAGGCGGAGAGAAGAATGTGAGTCTCTAAAGCCCTAAATAAAAAGCATGCTGTAAATGAAGGAAAAATGCAATAAAGAACTTGCAGAGTAAAAAGTATTTGCCCCTTACACTAATAAAATGTCTTATGAACATAGCAGCCATAGAGAATTCAGAAAACTTTCATTTAAAATGTCATTTGATCTAGAGTTTTTATTTTTACAGACTGCTGTGAATTTTTTAATGCAGTACAAAAAGCACTCTTTACAGAGACCTGTCATTCATGAGAATGCTGCAGCAAGCTTTTTGCCAGTAGTTCATTGTAAACTAAGGATCTGCTTTAAAAGATAGGTGGCTTGAGACGTATTTTAAACATGCTGTAAATGCTGGCTTGTTGTATTTCGTATTTGAAATATACATTAACAATGAGATGCTGCATAAAGTTGTAGCAGGAGACGTGTGGTGGCAGAATGCCCTGAGTTTTCTTTTAACTGCAGTGCTCCACTTAAGGGCATAGCCTAGTGCCAGGTAGATAGGTTGGAACTTGTCTTTTCTGCAGGTGGTCTTTGGGGTGGGTTTTTTTTCTAATGTTAAACCCAATTCAAACTAGCAACAGAGACTCTCGTTACAAATGGTGCCTAGCTTTTTGGGGTGAAATTTTCTGTCATGGTATAAATGTAAGCATAAAATACGAGATACCAAAGAGAGGCTTTTCCCTATAGCTTTCAGCATTGTATTGGCCTAAGTTTTTGTCTGCATTTAAGCCAACGTGAAACCTGCGATTTCACTGTAGAAACAGTAAGGACACTGTTGGATGCTTTTGAAAATTTTCAGTCTTGGGTTTTTACCTCATTTCACAATGTAGTAATCGCTTGTGTGGGAGGCAAGAAGACAGGAGCGCATGATGTGTTAGAGTCTGAAAAGGGGCAGCCAACTAAGATGGATTTTATAAAAGACACCTGCCCTATCACCTTTCTGCTCTCAACATGTAATTGTCAGCTGTGATTGTGTTACAAACACAGATGTTAAATTTTCCGTCTTCTGTGCTTCTGTTCCCTTGGAAGTGTGTTCATTGCTTATGCAAGGGCTGTGTGCTGGGATGAACGCTAGGTTTTGATGTTTGAAATACCAGCCCTGTGAGTATGGTATAGCATTAATGCCCAAGAAAGGGACGACTGAGCAGATACTTGGATGGTTTGGGTTGGTCAGTGACACAGAGGGCTTTGAAGGGGTCAGTATCACCTGAGTAGCTCCACTCCGCTGTTTGCCCAACCATTGCCAGGCTGTTGACTTTTTAAGTCCCCAAGGAGTTCACTTCACATCATAATTACTGAGAATTAGTACACATGGCTGACTTTTGCACTTGTAACTAAAGCTGATTGTTTCATCGAACAAGTCTTTTTCTGTTTTGTAAACTGTTTTCGCTCTTGAAAAAAAAAGGAAAAAGAAGAAAAGAAGAAAATAGAAAGATCTTTTAATTCATGACCTCGTGGCACTTAGTGCAGTTAACAGCCTGTTTCATAGCTTTTTATTGTGTGAAGATGAAAGTGATAGGTTGGTTGAGATTTTTTTTTATTGAGACCCCCAAGAATATAATTAAAAGTAGAACCTTTGTGTTTTTATACAGAATCTTAAAGAGGGTTGTTATGTAATTACTAACTCAAAATTTCCCCCTCTTTTATTTGCAAGAGATTTTCCTAGCGAGTGTGGTATTTGTTATTCATAAAAATATACGAAACTTCCAGATTTGCACAATGCCTGACACTCACCATGAACTCTGGTCTCTGCTGTGCATTTAGGACCCTCATCATTCATGTGAATCCTATATAGCCCTTATTATTAGATTAGTGAAAGGCTTCACTTCCAAGATTTGGTGTAATGACACTGTAGAGCTAGGATCTGCTGAGCATCTAAGCCACAATTCTGAGTTCACCTCCTTGAATGAAAAAGTGTAGAAATGTGCTAGGTTTGTTTCTGCTAATGCTGTAAGTTACCTTCAGGGATTCTTTGAAAAAGGGCTGATCTTGGGTAAGCCGTAAGTACAACTTGAAATGTTTTTTACAGTGGCAATAATCTTGAAGTTTATGTAAGCTTTTTTTCCCATGGTCTTTAAATTTATTTTATATTTTAAATAAAAAGTAATAACTAGTCAGACCGAGTTTAGCTGCTTGCTTCTTTTAAACTTAATTCTCTTAAAAGCTTCTGTTAAAAGTAACCTGATTTTTTTGATACAGCACTGGTCATTATTCTTATTTTTGAGTTACATTAACCAATTGAAAACTCTATTTGTAAAAGTGGCATAAATACTATTTTGGGGGTTTTAGGTGTTGCCTTTAACACTAAGCTTGTAGGTGAGACCGTTGTTTTGCTTAGTTCCTTAAATGAAGTAGCTCCACGTTTAATTGAAAAATGTACATTGTGTGTCTGGAGGTAACCGGTAAAGTGATGCAAAGATGTGAAATAAAAAAGTGATCATAAAATACATAAAAAATATTAAGAAAACCAGAAGTATTACAGCATGGCTAAAAAGAAATAGCTATATAAGATATGTTGCCTTGTCTGCATATAGTAATGCAATTAAATAGGTAAATCAGAGGCTTAATGTTCAGCAAGAAATGGGAAAAACGTTTTGCTTTATTAACCTTTCCTTCTGCTCTCCATCCTCGTTTGGAGGACAGAGTCTTTTCCTTCCCAGCTGCTCAGTGTGTGCTCACTATTAGCCAGTTTAAACAATGTAGCATAGTACAATTACAGACCCCGTACAGATCTGCTTTTATTTAAGTTGTCAAGACAATTTCAGGCATATTTCTAGAGACTTTATAGTGCTCGTAATAAAGTTAAAACATACTGGACCTGCTTGGACAACCTCAGCTCTGCTACAGAACATAAAAATCGGATACAGTTAAAATGAAGTTCATCTAGAAAGTGCAAAATCCTGTCCAAAATTAATTTTTATAAAGGAATATGATGTGAAATTCCAGATGAATTGTGGCAAATAACTGATCCAGTCCAAATAGTCTTATTAAGCTACTTAGAACATTTATTTTAAGTTTCAGAGCATAATAAAGATAAGTCCACATCTGAGCTGCATTTTCTCTGTTGCACTGCAGTAGCGGTAGAGGGTGGATGGACTGCAATTCCCATACTATTTAGATCTCTTACTTGCAAAAATTCAGACATTTCTAAGTTGTAGGCTGAAGGAGACTGAAGGTGTCATTCTTGCTTTCATTATTCAGAAACCTAAATCTCATAAAATTCTATCCTATTTGGCAAGGAAGGCTCAGCTATAAGTACGGGTGAAAATGAAACTGAGTATTATGAATGCCAGGGAAAAAAATTCTCTGCATGTATAGCTGAAAAAAAATGAACAACTGCTATCACACAGAAAAGTTTCAGGATAGTTTATTGAGATAGTTAAATAATGATGATCTTCTCGATGATTGCTCCTATTAGCATTGAAAGCAAATGGCATACATCTCCTGAACTCTTAAGAGAATTACACTCGGAAGTCTATATTACATTCTCCCTGCAGTCAGGGAATGTAACTTCCATTACTTTCAAAGGGAGTTCTGCCTGCATGTGTAAAAGCCCAACATTCACATTTCTTGTTTAAGGAAAGGTTCAGAAGCTCCTAATACAATTTTTTTCTTAATTAAATTTAAAGCTGTTTTCTTTTTTCATAAAATTTAAATTAATTCAATTTAAAGTCTATTTAATATAATTAATATATTGTAACAATGCACTATAATTAATTAGATATTTTTAAATTATAGCTTTCTCCTCTGAACTGCTGGAATTGTAGTTCTTTTCAGCATACTGAAAATAATTTAAACTAACTGTAAACTTTTGG